TGTGAGCTCCAGCTCTTGGATCCGACCAGCCCCACACTCGTCCTTCTGTTCCCCTTTTTTCTGAGCCTCAGCTGAAGGCAGGACCCACAGCACTTGCTGTGTGGCCTCCCCTGCACCTCGTTATCTCCAGGAACAGCTCCCCACCTCTCCCATCCCACTTCCTCCGGGGCTCCAATCCCTCCCCTCCTGGCGCTTCAGCCTTCCCAGATCCTCCTCTCGCTGCTGCCAGGGGATAATCGCTGCTTAAAACCTGATTGAAGCCAAGAGCAGCTGATTTTTACAACTCTCAAGTCTCTGCCTGTCGGCCTGGGGTTGGGAGAGGCCGAGACTTCAGGCACAGCAGCTTCTTCCAAGGTTGGGACGTGTGAGGGAAGAGCATCTCCCTCTTGGCCTGAGCTGCTCACCTGGTGGGCCTGGAGAGCTCTGGGCTCCTCCTCAGGGGCCCCACTGAAGGTGATTAAGAAAATTAATTCGTGTAACTCCACGGCACGACACTGGAAATCTGGGAGGGGATGTTTGAAGATAGGGATGATAGAATTGTGGGATGGTCTGGGTTGGGAGGGATCTTAAAGATCATCCAGCTCCATCCCCTGCCATGGGCAGGGACACCTTCCACCAGCCCAGGTTGCTCCAGCCTGGCCTTGGACACTCCCAGGGATCCAGGGGCAGCCACAGCTTCTCTGCCCAACCTGTAGCCAGGGCCTCCCCACCCTCCCAGCCAGCAATTCCTTCCCAATATCCCATCTATCCCTGTCCTCTGGCCATTCCCTGTGTGCTGTCCCTCCAGACCCTGCACTAACGAGCCCTGAGCGATCCATGCTGTGCTGGTGCACCTTTCCTCTTGGTTTTGCTCTCCCAAACACATCCCCAGGAGCTGTTTCTCTCTCTCTGTCAGAGACCATTTCCCTCCATCCTTCAGCCACCACTTTTTCCCAGCAAACAGCCAGAATTCCTCCTTGCCAGGAGCTCCCCATCCTGCCCTGCCCGTGCCCAGCTCGCAGCGCTCTCTGGCTCAGAAACGTTGGGAGCTGCCAAGGCCAGGGATGTCAGGAAGGGAGAAATCCACCTCAGCTTTTCATCTCCTTTTGCCAACATTTCATTTGAGTGGGATTTTCACACTGCTGCACCTTGAACCAGCTTCCCACCCGTGCTCAGTCCACGTTGTGTTGCAGGAGGAGGGAACCACCAGCCCTGCAGTGGGAACTCAACTCCTCCCAACCTTCTTTCTCTTCATTTTCTCCACCAAAGGGCATTTACAGCCTTGGATTCCATCCCTAATTCCCATCCTGCAGGGTCAGCGCCGCCTTTCAATCTCCTTTTGAGCCTCTTCCACGGCAAAAAAAGCAGCTCCCGGGCAGGTTCCCTGCGGCGTTTCCCGGATATCCCACGGAGCTGAGCACTCCACTGAGCACTCTGTTGGTTGGCTCCAGGGGGAAGGAAACAACAATGAGATCACTGGGAAAGCTGGCATTTTTTTGACGTGCCCGGAGGAAATCCGGGAGTCTGGCAAACGGCTGAGCACCTTCACCCTCCGTGGAAAATGGAATTAAACTCGTCCATGAAAACAGGGTGATGATCGTTCCATCCAGCAGCACTCCAGCCTCCCTTTCCCCCTGGTGGCAGAGGGAGGAAGGCTGAGCTCGCATCTGCTGGAGGGACTGTGGGAAGCAGCAGGAGCAGAGCTGGGACAAAAGCGGGGCCCACGCCAGGCTCAGCTCCCGGGTTTTGTTCGGTGATGGATGGGGACGAACACGCCGTGCCCCCCTCCCCGAGCCGTTTAATCAGGGATTTGATGGCTCCTGGCGCTCTGCTGGAGGCAGGCTGGGATGGAGCTCCTCAGGCACCTCAGCGGGGCAGCATTCCAGGCTCCGGAGCCGCCACATCCCTCCGAACCCAGGACAAATTGGAGGAACAACGGCTCATTTTGTGACTTGCTCCGCGGCAAAAAAAAGATCCTTTGCCAATCCAACACGTGAAGATGGAGATTTGGAAGGGAAAACCGGGAAAATCGTGGCGTTTGGTCCGTTTGCCGCCCTTGGGCCCGTGGAGTTTTTGCAGCTGAAAGAAAGGAAAACAGAACCCCTCATTTATTGGAACAATAACCAGAGCCTAAAACCCAGCCCTGGGAAGGAAAGCTGTGCAGAGCTTCCCCCTTCGCATTTATTGGGAATTCCATTCCAACACCACTGCCCCCTGTCCCCAAGTGCCACATCCACAGGGATTTTAAATCCCTCCAGGGATGGGGACTCCACCCCTGCCCTGGGCAGCTGTGCCAGGGCTGGACAGCCCTTTCCACGAAGAGAATTTTCCCCAATATCCAACCTGAACCTCCCCTGGCACAACTCGAGGCCGTTTCCTCTTGTCCTGTCCCGTTTTCCCTGGGGAGATTTCAGACTATTTCACTAACCTCCCCCGTGTTGTCACACACAAACCCACATCTTCCACCAGAAAACAAGAAAAATCCCGATTCCATAAGGACAAGCATCCCTGATTTCTCATCCCTGGGACTGTGTCACTCCAACAAAAGCCTTTGCGGGCTCTTTATCCCTCGCACTAAACCAGCACCAGCCTCTACAAGACGGTGATTTACAGCTCTGCCTCCCCCGGGGCTGTCCCAGCCGGCGCGGCAGCAATTCCAGCAGGAATGGCTTTCCCAGCGGGAGGACGGGGGTGTGTATAAAGTGCCTGTCGCACCGGAGCGATGTCCCAGTGGGGAATCCCTCAGCCCTTAATTTATTGATTACCATCCGCAGGAACAGCACTGAGACCGCGGCGGGAATTAAAACCCTCGGCACAGGGAGATTCCCAGAGCTCGGCCGGCTGGGAAGAGGCAGAGGGAAGGGGTGGGGGGCTCGCTGTGAATTGGTGCCACGGCGCTGCCTTTTTGCGTTTCACCCCCAAACACAGGAGCTGTCGCTGTCACCCGAGGCCACCCGGGGCGCTCGGCATTCCCGGCTTCTGACCAACCTCCTTCAGTGGGAGAGAGGGCCGTGAGTCAGCTGAGCCCGCTGGAATCTTTCCTCACGTGAAAACAACTCGTTCCTGCAGACACTGACCATGAAAACACAAAATGAACGTACCAGGCTCTTTTTTTCCTCCCACCACCCCACGCAGCTGTACCTGATGTGCAGCTTGGCACGGCGTGTCCACCTCCCGAAGTCACCCCAAACCAGGGAATACAGCATTTATTAGTTATTTTAGGGTGGGAGCTGCCTGTGCTTGTATTGAACAACGTCAGGGAGATTTGTGGTGCCAAAGCATCAGAGCAGCTGTGGCTGCCCCTGGATCCCTGGAAGTGTCCAAGGCCAGGTTGGATAGGGCTTGGAGCAACCTGGGCTAGTGGAAGGTGTCCCTGCCCATGGCAGGGGATTGGGAAAGATGGTTCAGTGTGCCAGGGCCTCCCCACCCTCACAGCCAGCAATTCCTTCCCAATATCCCATCTAAATCTACTCTCTGTCACTTCAAAACCCTTCCCTGTGTGCTGTCCCTCCATGCCTTGTCCCCAGTCCCTCTCCAGCTCTCCTGGAGCCCCTTTAGGCCCTGCCAGGGGCTCTCAGGTCTCCCTGGAGCCTTCTCTTCTCCAGGGGAACCCCCCCAGCTCTCCCAGCCTGGCTCCAGAGCAGAGGGGCTCCAGCCCTGGCAGCATCTCCGGGGCCTCCTCTGGACTCTCTGCAGCAGCTCCACGTCCTTGTGCTGTTGTTCCCAGGGCTGGGGGCAGCTCTGCAGGGGGTGTCCCCTGAGGGGGCAGAGGGGCAGAATCCTCCCCCTGCCCTCACTGTGGGATCAGCCCAGGGCACGGGGGGTTTACGGTGCCAGCGCTCGTGGATGGGACATGTCCAACCAAAAGGTCTGGTGTTTGGCTTTCCCAAGGAACCAATTGTCCATCTTGACTTTTAGCGGCCTCCTGGTGACACCCAGAAGTCCCAGGAGAGATGTGGGTCCCTGATGGATGGATGGGGAAACACCTGTGCAGATCTCAGCAGGTGTGAGGACACTGCTCCATGGTAGGGCCCTTTTGAAGGCAGGAGCTGGGGGACAGGGAGGTGATTTGGGACAGAGCAGTGGCAGATCCCTGGAAAAGGACCAAACTGATGCCCAGGTCCCGCTGTGACCCCCCCCAGCGAGCGGCACAGGCTGCACGGCCCATCTGGGGGCCGAAAGGCACCTCCCCAGCGTCGCTAACTGGGAAATAAATCCCCAGTGGGTGTCTCGCCTCCGCCGCCCGGGTTTATCTCTGGAACTAATTCCGTCGTCATTCCGATGAGTGACGAGATAATCGCTGCAGCTGGGCTATTCAGCCGGCTCCAAAGATCCCCTTTTCCCGTTAATTCAGGCACTGGTTCCACACTCCCGGCCAAATTTCTGCGGCGTGTAACCCCATTAAGGCAGCGCCTCTCGCCCGGGGGTGGGCTCAGCCCTCGCTGTTTAAATAGTGCGTTCGCCTTTCTTTGTTCTACGGGAGACAAAGGAGATTTTTTTTTTCCCCCCTGTATAAAAACCAAAAAATAATTAGGGAAATCTGATGTCTCCCTGCGCAAAACACGGACGCTTAAGCTGCAATCACAGATAATTAAAAAGGATCCGTTCTTGCCCCCGCAGTGAGGAAAAAGGGCCAAATTGCCGCCTGCAAAAATACCTCTGAAATATTCAGTGTTCTCCGGAGAGCGCCGGGTGAGGGGGGAGAGGAGGAGGGAGATGCTCGCCTGGCACGGCGTGACAGGGCTGGGGACAATGACCGCAAACTGTCCCCAGAGCAGCTGGGAGAGCTTTGGACTCGAGGAATGGCTTTGTGCAGAGGAGGGCACCGCACAAAAGCGGGACAAGAGCTAAAAAAGGAGGAGGGGGGGTGGGTGAGGGCTGCCCGGGGTAATCGCTGCGATGGCATCTGCAGGAATGTTCACAAAGCCTTTTCTTGTGGATACTCTTTTTTTTTTTTTTTTTTTTTCCCCTGCTCCCCCGCGCTGTGGTGGCAACGTAATAAAACAAGGGAAAGTCTGAGGTCTGGGCTAAAAAGTGTGGGTTTACTGATGCTGGTTTTCCTACCCGTAAAATAACAACGTGAGGAAGAAGGATTGTGCATCAGGTTGGAAGCATCTCAAGCGGGGTTTGCGTGAGCGCAGCTCCTCCTTAGCCAGCGCGATATTCCCTGTTTACAAGTGGAAAAGGAAGCTAAAATTAGGATATAAAAGCGTCCCTCCGCCGACAGGACAGAAATAAATCGCCCTATTGTCAGGAGAAGGGCGTGGGGAATCTCCCGTCTCTGCCCTTGGCTTTGACCTTGTCCGCCTTTTCCCCCCCCGTGTCAGCCCGAGCTGTTCATCTTCACCTTGCGCGATGCTCACACCGGGAACAATGGGAGCGGAGCTGTCGAGTTAAATGGCAATTTAGAGCTGAGACAAAGGAGTCGGGGTTTTTACACCGAGGCCTCGGGCAGCCCATTAAATGAAAACGAGCCAGTGATCTCATTAGCCAAGGGCCCGGCGGCTCCCGGCGCTCCGAGGGAGAACCATGGGGATCTCGGGAAGGAAATACGGGAAATAATCCTATTTATTTTTTTTTTTTTTTTGGTCAAAAGGTGTGTTTTTATAATCAGACCGCAAAGTCACAATCACAGAATGGTTTGGGTTGGAAGGAGCATTAAAGATCACTCCGTTCCACCCCCTGCCCATGGGCAGGGACACCTTCCACTAGCCCAGGTTGCTCCAACCTGGCCTTGGACACTTCCAGGGATCCAGGGGCAGCCACAGCTTCTCTGCCCAACCTGTGCCCGGGCCTCCCTAGTCTTATAATACGAAATACTTTTCCTTATATGCGACTTTTCTGGTTCCATATCGGACAATTCCGCTGCTCCGGAGCTCGGGCAGAGCTTGCGCTCCCACCTCGCACAGGGGACTCTCCACCCCAGGAAAGTTTTCACCTCCCACCGCCTGCATTTATCAAAACCTCCTCTCTCCACAGGTGCGCCCGGATGGGCTTTTTAAAGAGCGCCAACAACGCACGCCCCAAATTTGCTGCCGAGCCACAAGACACGTGAGAGCTGCGCGTGTTTTTGGGGCCGTGAGCTGCTCTTTCCACCCCCACCCCGAGCCTTTGGTGCCCGCCCCGAGCTGAGCTCCGCGGCTCCTGCTCCGCCGGCACCAGGAGGAGGCAGCAAATCCACGACCAAGGTGCAAAGGAGGCGATGGAAACACGTCCTGGCTGTTGCTTTGCCTCCCGTGGCTCTTGCCGGGCGGGGGAAGCGGCAAATCTCGCCCTCGCCATCCCGGTTTTAATTGCAGCGGATCGTTCCTCTGGGTCTGCTCCCGCTGTGCCCTTTCCTTCGCCTCCAGGCAAAACCTGGAATTCGCTGTGGCCCGCAGCGGGAGATGCTGAGAGGAGCAGCCTGTGTCCTGGTGCTGGAAGCTCTGCAGGAATGGGGTTTCCCTGCTGGGAATTCCGTGGGCATGGAGCTTGCTGCTGGGGGTGGGAGGTGCAGGGGCTGTGGTGTCACTCAGTGTCTTAAAATTTGGGGATTTGGTGTGTGATTTACTCCTAGGAATGCAAGAACAGCTGCTCTGGACTGAGAGAAGTTTCTGTGGCCTCCTTTAGATCAGTTCCAGCAGCTCCATGTCCATCTGATGCTGGGGATTCCAGCAGCTGCAGGCAGCTCTACAGGTGGGCTCTGACCAGAGCAAAGGATTGTTTCCCTTATGGAAGTGCCACACAGGGATGCCTCATCCCTGCAGCAGGAATTCCCACGCTCCAGGTGCTGTGCCAGGATCTCTGGGAGCACAGCATCTGGGACAGGGCTCTCCAGCTGCACGAAAACTGCAGGAGAAATGGCATTTCTGACCCAAAATGCAGAGTCACAAACCTGGAGGAGAAGCTTGAAGTGCAGTGCCTGGAGCTCCATCCCTGGCCAGGGAGTGATATTCCCTCCTCCCTGTGAAGATTATTATCCTCCAGCACAGCTCCAGGGATCCCATCAGGATGGCTGAGCCTGTGGCCCGAGTCAAGTGGGATGGAAATGCAGGAACTCTTTAGGATTCTGCCCAACTTCTCCCGCCGTGTAATTCGGGCTGTCAGCACAGGATAAAACGAGCTCCACTAACGTGATGGATGTCTCAGATCATCTGCAGCCTAAACAGATGCTGTGCTGAATAAATACACCTGCAGCTTGTGCATTTCTGTGTGCTGAGTGGCATCCTCGGGGCAGCCAGGGAGGAGGGAAGGGGGGAGTCAGTGGGAGAGCTGCTTGGGGAGGAATGCCCTGGTATCGGTGCTGGATAATGCAGGGAAAAAACAGATATAATAACAGAATCATGGAATGGTTTGGGTGGGATCATCTTAAAGATCATCTTGGGCAGGAACACCTTCCACTAGCCCAGGTTGCTCCAACCTGGCCTTGGACACTTCCAGGGATCCAGGGGCAGCCACAGCTTCTCTGGGAAGTTCATTCCAGGGCCTCCTCACCCTCACAGCTCCACGTCCTTGTGCTGTTGTTCCCAGGGCTGGGGCAGCTCTGCAGGGGGGTCTCACTGAGGGGGCAGAGGGGCAGAATCCCCCCCATGTCCTGCTGCCCACGCTGGGGGATGCAGTAAATGTGCCCCTAAGCTTTTAAACCCATTACTTAATATATTTTTTTGAGTATTTCAGCCTTATTTCCAAAGCACAGCCCTGCTGGAATGAAGCAGTTACAGGGGGAGGAACTGAAAACTAAAGGTGCAGTGGAAAGCAATGAGCATTCACGACTCTTTCTGGCATTGCTGAGGTCCTGGCACTGCACTGGATTTATCTTCCCAACCCAGGCATGGCACAGATTCTCCCACCCCACCTTACAGAGCTGACCTAAAGGTGTTCCAAACAAACACCATGTTTATCTAAGCTTCACTTTCTCCTGGATTCACTCGGAAATGAGGGAAATGTTCCCTCAGAAATGTACCCAAATGCTTTAAAGGATTAGTGCAGAGTGAGAGCTGCAGCAGCTGGGGGGGCACTGAGCCCTCACTGCTGGAGGAGTTGGAGGCTCAAATCATCGGTGCTGGGGTCATAACTCTGCAGCAGCTTTGCAGGGATTGAAAATCCAATTTCGACTCATTCAACCAGTGTGAAGCCTCCTCTAATGCTTGCAAAACTCAAGGTTAAAAGGGAAAAAAAAACAACAGGCAAAGAAAGAAAAAGAAATGAGGACAACACACCGGCAGCTTCTCTGCTGGTGTGGCAGGATAAAGAAACCCAACGGGGGAAAAGCAGTCAGGTGTGTGTCTGACAGGGCACAGGGCTGCTGGCTTTCCAAGGGAGAGGAATCACAGAATCCCTGAGGTTGGAAAAGCCCTCCAAGACCATCCAGTCCCCCCTGTGCCCCATCCCCACCTTGTCCCCAGCCCAGAGCACTGAGTGCCACGGCCAGGCCTGCCTTGGACACCTCCAGGGTGGGGACTCCAAACCTCCCTGGGCAGCCCTTGCCAAGGCCTGACCACCCTTTCCAGGGACAAATTCTTCCTGATGTCCAAACCTGACCCTCCCTTGGCACAGCTGGAGGTCGTTCCCTCTCCTCCTGTCCCTGTTCCCTGGGAGCAGAGCCTGAACCCCCCCAGCTCCCCTCCTGTCAGGGACTTTAGGGAATCACAAGCCCCTGAGCAGCAACCAATCCACCACTGCATGGCCAAAACTGGGATCTTCAGCCTCATTTTGGGTACCTGGAGGCAGAAACCCCCAAACGCCCTCGGTGCAACCCAATATCCACTGACCCCATCTGGCTGTGCCGTGAGCCGGGTCCCTGTCCCAGCCCCTGAGTCTGATTCACCCTCCTCAGGGTGGTTATTGAGCACAACCATCCTCCTCTGTTGCCTCCTGCATCCCCCTCAGGCACCTCTGACCCCCATCTCACCTCCTGGGAACTTGGCAGTTCCTCGTGAGCTCCCTGAAGTTCACGGCTGGCTTGTGCCAAAATCTTCAGCTTCCGCTGGTGGCACCTGGATCCCAAGGGAAGGTTTGGTCCCTGCTGGACCCACAGGGAAGGGATTTCATGGAACAGCTTCCTCCTGCAGGCTCAGGCAGTTTTTCTGCTTGGTTTTTGTCACCTGTCCCTGCATTTCCCTTCTTTGCTGCCAGACCCTGCACGTGGATTCCCCCCAGGCTGCTGCAGGCAGGGATCACAACTGCCCAAACCAACTCGGGGCTTGCCCTAGGGAAACAAAAGTCATCGAAATGAATCATTTTAATGCCAAGAACTCAGTGAATACAGCACTTAAATACAGTGAATCAGCATTTAAGCCCAGGCCTACAGCCTGGCCTTGCAGGGCTCGGGAGCTGGAGAAAACAAGTTTCAAGTAATGAACATGTTGTGTTCATGCTTGGATTTTAATTATATCCACAGGCAGGCACCACCTGACATTTTATAGCACTGCTTTTAAAGGCATGAGTCTGGGATAACCACAGAAGCCAGGGGAGGCAGTGAGTGAATCCATCCATCCATCCATCCATCCATCCATCCATCCATCCATCCATCCATCCAGGAATTAGGTTTGAAGGTGATTTCAGGACCCTGTGTCTCTTTACCAGTCCCAGCTCAGCCCAGCCCAGTAAATCCTGTGGGAAGTCCATGGGAGTTGAGCCAGCCCTGAAGTGCAGGGGCTGTAAAGGAGCTCCCAGGCAGCTGCTCTGTAAATCAGGGGCTTGCCTGGCCCCATAAATCACCACCCCAGTGGGGGGCAGAGGCTGCACGTGCTGCTCCAAGCCCTGCCTGGGGCTCTGGGATCACCAGGATCCCGTGGGAGCAGAGCCAGGGCTCCTCTCCACAATCACTGGAGCCTGGCACTGAACAGGATAAATCCTGGTCCTCCAGGGATTCTGCTCCCACCTGGGGGTCTGTCTCCAGGGGGAGGGGGAGAAAAGGAGTTGTGGCTGCCAGATTTAATACCTTGTAAAGCCTCCACTTGGAAGCTGCTCAGGGCTTTGTAATGGCACAAGGAATGCCGGTGGAGAGGGATTAGCAGGAGGAGTGCAGGTGGAGGGGGGGCAGCCACACGACAGAGGAGCAGTTCATCCAGTTCCTGAGGCCCTGTGGGTACACAGGGACATCAACCAGGACATTTTCCATGCCAGGATCACCCTCAGCCAGCCACCCACAGAGACTGTCAGGCAAAAACCCCCTTGGTTTGTTGGAAGCCAAGGAAATGGGAATTAGGACGAGATGAAGCCAACCTCGGTCACCTGCTCACCAAACCAGCTGGGCTTCGTTTCCACCAAACACATCCATCACCCCACAGAGGGCAGGTGGGCACAGACACCCAGGCCTGCTGATATTCCAGCGGGAAAGGGAATATGTGGTTTATTTGATCTGGCACAGGTTAACCACTCTGGTTATATCCATCTGCAGGGTTATCACCCTTGAGCCAGGCCAGACGTGCTGCCTGGGAACCAGAAACGTGCTGCCTGCTTAATATCTTTATTTTCCTGTTGGTTTTCTTGTTTGTTTTCTTGTCCCCCTCCCAGGGAAAGCTGGAATTCCCCAGCATTTAATGCTGGGCAGGCAACATCCTGTGGTGTCATTCCATGAGCTTCTCCAGCTACGCGGAGCACGGAGCTGCTCTGTGTTAGCCAAGCACAAAAACAAGGAGGCAAAAATCGATCCAGAAAGGTGGATTCACCCGTGGCTGAACACAAACAGCCTCTTAATTAGCTACAGGGATGATGAAATCACTCGGGCACGGAAGCAGGAAGGTGTGCACACACAGAATCCCAGAGGGGTTTGGGTTGGAAAAGACCTTAAAGATCATCCAGTTCCATCCCCTGTCCTGGGCAGGGACACCTTCCACTAGCCCAGATTGCTCCAACCTGGCCTTGGACACTTCCAGGGATCCAGGGGCAGCCACAGCTTCTCTGCCCAACCTGGTGCCAGGGCCTCCCCACCCTCCCAGCCAGCAATTCCTTCCCAATATATACACAGCTTTTCTTTGGGAAGCTCTGCCCAGGGTCACCGGTGGGAAATGTGTGGTATCCTACAGATCTGCCCTGTGGGGGACTAATAATTCTGGAGGAAAGAAGGGCCCCCAGGTGGAGTTTAACCCCTTCCAGTGCTTTCCAGCAGCAGTGATTGGTCCTCTGATCTTCACTGAGCTCGTGAGACCAACCCAGAGCTTTGGAGGGAGCTGAGAACAGCAGGAACCTCACCCGGAGCGTTGGGATTCCTCTCTCCTGCTTCCCTGCCCTCCTTGGGATTTCATTTTTTCGTGGTTATACCTCAGGATCTGCAGCCTCACGAGGCAGAGCTGGATCCCTGCACAGCTGAGCTGTCACCTGGTCCCACTGTGCCATCTGTCCCCTCCCCACATTCCCAGTGCCCCCCCGGCCATTCCCAGCTGGCACCGGTGTCAGCTGAGAGCTGGTGGAGGCAGCTCTGCCCCCTTCCCCTCTAACAGCTCCTCTCCAGGCTGCAGATTGACATGCAAGACAATTTATTTACAGGCCAACCCTAAAATGAAAGTCAAGATCCCCTAAAAATGAAAGTCAAAAGCTCCTACAACTGCTTGGGTCCATCCCACAGCTCCTCTGGGAGTGGAATCCCACCCCAGGTCCTGCTCCCACAGAGGTTGGGATGAATATCTCGTGGGCTCGTGGGAGGCCACTGAACCCTGCAAATACAGCCAGGGTCCTGGAGGACAAGCAGAAATTCCCAGTGTTTTCCCATGGAAAAATACAGATTCGTTTTCTAATGAAAATTAAGCATTGGAAAAACGGACTCGTGGTTGGAGGGTGAGTTTTTGTGGGGGAGGACGCTGAGAGGACAGGGGGGAGTGGCTTTAAACTGAGAGAGGGGAGATTTCGGTGGGATGTTAGGAAGAAACTCTTCCCTGTGCCACGTCCTGTCCTTCCTTGGACACCTCCAGGGGTGGGGACTCCACCACCTCCCTGGGCAGCCCCATTCCAACATCCAATCACCTTTCCTGGGAAGAATTCCTTCCTAATGCCAGAAAGCACCGCAGGAGAAACAAAAGGCATCAACTCTCCCTTCCAAGGCTGGAGGAGTTTTGAAAACTCGTTGTTTTTGGGAACGGGAAAACCACGGATTGTCCAGTTTGGGTCACTCCAGGCCCCATCTGGGACCTGCTCCACCTCACCCCTCCCATCTCCAGCGCTTCCAACAGGCCTGACAGGGGATGAGGGAGGCAAAGGCAAAGGCAAAGTGGCTTTTCCAGGAGCCCAGAGCTGTCAGGGATATTCCTGGCCTTTTATGCTGCATTTTGGGACGTGCCATTCCCCGTGTTTTTGCAGGAGTGAGAACAATCTCGAGGAAGAATTAAATAATTAAGTGCCCCAAACAACAGCCCTGCTGGTCTGGAAATCCTGCCTTTTGTCACTCAGAGAACAACAGGGCAGGGTTTGCTCCCCACTCCTTGGAACACACATCAGCAAAACACCTGGAGGTTGAAGTCAGTGATTAAATAAACCTATAAACCTCTGTGCATCCTTCAGGGGGACAGTTTTAGGGAGTTGCTGTCTCGGTAAATAACCCACAGAGACAAAATGTTGTTGCATAAATAAAGGTATCCCATCTTTCATCTTCTGGGTTGTTGTTTGGTTTTTTTTCCTGTCTCCTCACTAGGTGGCATCTGCAAAAGCAAAATGCAGTGGGTTTTTTTTTTTTGTATTCTCCCATTAATACCAGAGCATAAAACACAAAGGGGAAATCATTCCAGTCCCAGCTGGGCACGGAGGGAGCGCTGCCAATGGGGGATCTGGGTCGATTTACATATACTGAGATTTTCAAGTGACAGATTAATTGGCTTGATGACAATTCACTGAAAGCAGGGAGAGCTGGAGATGTCACATTCCCCAGAAGCTCAGGCACATCTCACACAAGGGCTCGGATATTCCTGGGGTTGTCCCATCAGCTCTGGGAGAAATGAGGGGTTTTCACATCACCTCAGCACACCCCACCTGGTTTCTCCCCACAACAGGAAGAATAATCCCAAATTACCCAGAATAAACACTGGTTGCAATCATTTAAAATAAAAAAAAAAAAAAAAGAAATTACCCTGGGCATCATCGCAGGCAGGTTTGGGTGCAAGGTGGGTTTGGGGGTGCAGGGGTGAGATTTGCAGCCCCCACAGCTAAAGGGGCTCCAGGAGAGCTGGAGAGGGACTGGGGACAAGGCATGGAGGGACAGGACACAGGGAATGGCTTCAGAGTGGAAAAGGGAAGATTTAGATGGGATATTGGGAAGGAATTCCTGGCTGGGAGGATGGGCAGGCCCTGGCCCAGATTGGGCAGAGAAGCTGTGGCTGCCCCTGGATCCCTGGAAGTGTCCAAGGCCAGGTTGGAGCACCCTGGGCTGGTGGAAGGTGTCCCTGCCCATGGCACGGGATGGAACAGGATGATCTTTAAGGTCCCTCCCAACCCAAACAATTTGTGATTCCATGTTATCAGCCCTTGGCCACCACTTGGCTGCATTTTTCCAGCCTTTATTGCATTGTCTCCAGGTATTTATTCCTCACATGTTTCTTTTTCAATCCCTTTCTTTGACCTTTAAATACCAGAGATCCCCAAACCACCTTCCCAGCCCCCTTCCTTAGGTGCCTCCCCACCTATCCTTTCCCCACCACCATCCTGATGAAAGATCCCTGCCCTTCCTTCAAAATCCACCCCTCTCCTTCCCTTTGGGGTCACTCCACACCTTCCCTTTCCTCCGGGAGTTCGGCATCCAAACGTCCGTGCGATCGCTGCGGCTCCGCCAGCCTGGAGGTCACCCCCGGCCCTGTTCATAAATAAATCATAAAGTGTTGTTATTTATGTGGTGTCAACAGAGCGAGAAGTACAACATGAGGCAAATTCAGCGTGGCAGCCAAATTCCAATCTGCTGCTTTTTCCCCCTGCCGGTTTCGGATCCGGGGAGCGGAGCTCTCTCCGTGCCTTCGCTCTGCTCCTCTGGGAAGGGAGATTTAACCCCCCCTGCAGGGATTGGGATCTGGCCAATTAGACACTTCCAAGGAGTTTTTCCTCCCCAAAAAAGTCCTTCCTGACATTGCCTGGGAGAGGCAAGGGCAGCAGGTTGCTTATTTGGATTGCTTTGTTTGGCCTGTGCAAGTATTATCACAAAGTGACCTTTTAGCACGGGCCAGCATGGGGTGAAATCCTTCCCTGCCCAAAAAGCTGCTTCCCAGAGCCTCTGAACCACTCAC